GGTAATAGAAGAAGGGCATTCAATAAGTATCTTGTTTTGTGCACAGAACAGAAAGCCACATTATTTCTTCTTTCTTCTTGGATCAACTAGTAAACATTCTCTATTCTAACTGGGTATGTGTGATACCAAACATCAGATGGGAAGAGTAGAAGTAGGCAAGTAGTAGTTCATGAAAACAGCCTTCTAAGAGTTGATTTGAGTAGTAAAAGTTTCCAGTTTTCTTTTTTTTTAAAGATTTTATTTATTTATTTGAGAGAAAGAATGAGAGAGAGAGAGCACATGAGAGGGGGGAGGGTCAGAGGGAGAAGCAGACTCCCTGCTGAGCAGGGAGCCCGATGCGGGACTCGATCCCAGGACTCCAGGATCATGACCTGAGCCGAAGGCAGTCGCTTAACCAACTGAGCCACCCAGGCACCCCAGTTTTCTTTTTAAGAGCAGCTGTTAATGTGCTTGGTTTTCTGTATTTTGAAAAGAGAATTCAGATGGGTCAAGATATTATAATCACATATAAATTACCACAGGCAAAGGTAATCATCATTGCACAAAATACAGAATTGTCACTGAGGTCATGGCAATTAATGGCAATTTTCACCAGAACATATTTCCTTGATTGATTGAATGAATGAATGAATGGTTCTAATGAGTAGACGTGCCCTGGTGGGCAGAACAAGAGGCAGAGTTTTGTTGTTGTTTTTAATTTTCATGGAGGTAAGTTCCTTTTTACATTTTTATCATAAATGGGTCCCAAGAAAATACTGTTAGGGCAGAGGACTATACCTGTGGCCCTTCTGAAGTTTCACTTATAAGGAAGGAGATTGTATGAGCTGAGTAGTTTCAGTTATTAACTAATTTTTATGTAAAAATAAGATGAGAAATGTGTTTTCGGGCCCTATGATGTTAAAGGTTCAAATATACTTTAGAAAGAAATACACATACATAATTATATACGTACATAATTATATACGTAATGAAAATGAGAGCTACCTTTTTATCATAGATTTTGATTCTAGATTTGATTATTGATTATAGTCATAGAATTATATAGAATTTTAGCTCTGGAAGATGAATCATTATATACAGAAAGCACTAAATAAACGCTGACTGGAATGTATGTATAGGAAAAGTAAGCTAATGATCATAATCTCAGTGATTTTAGACTGAGACAAACCATAGAAATCATTCAGAATCAGCTCTTTTACTTTTCTAACCAAAAAACTGAGATCCAGAAAAATAAGTAATTCAGTCAGGCATATTGAGCCTAGGGTCCTCTGAAGTTGGAGTAGGTGAATTATTACAGTAAGCAAGATTACATTGAAACAGGGAAAATTTAATGCTAAGCCTGTGTTCACCTACTACCTGTAATTTTTTAATACTTAAGAGAACATTAGAGGACTTGGGAATAGTATACATTCATAATTATATTGAGCCCAGAACCCAAGAAAAAAAGAAGATAAAATACCACCAGCCTCCATTCCCTGCAGCCTCTCCCACTCCCCCAACACAGAGCAATGCAGATAATTTTAATTCCTCATTTCTTGGAACAAAAGTAGCGCTGCTTACCACTTTGTGGGTGAAGAAACTGAGTAAAATTCTAAAGAAGTAAAACTCTAGAAAGGTGCCTTGATTTAATTTCTCTGAGGAATTTCTTGTTGCTCTTTTTTGGCTTGTCTGGATTTCTGAGAGTGAAAAAGAAATAAAAAATTGAATATTAAATCCTGTCTTATGTTGCAATACTTGTTAACAATAAACTACAAAAAAGACTATAAAAATCTAATTTAGGCTTTATTAAATCTGTTGAATTTAAAGGTTGCTTTATGTGATAAACAGAAAATGTAACTTTTAACTCTCATAAAGATAGTTTTATTGAACTATATTTAAAAGATTAGATTTTGAAAAAAGTTTTTGATTAAATCCACTGATGAATTAAAATGAAATGCCAGTATATTACTCTGTGTAAAGAATACACATGTTTTTGTATATTGCTTTATTCACTGGGTAATATTTTTCAGGTTGTAAGAATGGTTTTTGCCATTTACCAAAGAATACCTATATTCAAAAGCTGAAAGAAAGTAATAATTTTATATCTATAACAAAATGAACACTTGTTGCTGAGTTAAGATTAATATAACTTCATATAAATTTATATTTCAGGCTATTTCACTAGATTTTTATTGGCGAAGTGCATTTAAAGAAGTGTCTCTTCCTATGGCACATTGTATAACAACAGCAATTGAAGATTTTTCCACAAAAATTCTCCAACAGGAACAGAATGAAAGGTCTTTGGCTATAACCTATGCTATGACCCTTGTAAATGTGCAGCAAGTTTGGCAAGACAGTCATGTGTTTCCTGAGGAGGATCAACCAAAGAAAATTGCAAAGGCAAGTGTCGAATGAAATCCTTTCAAACTGTCGACTGGCATAATGAGATTTTTTTTTTTTTTAATATAAGACGTTGCGGGGCACCTGGGTGGCTCAGTTGATTGAGCATCTGACTCTTGGTTTTGGCTCCAGTCATGAACTCATGGTTGGTGGGATCGAGTCCTGCAAAGGGCTCTGCACTCAGTAGGGAGTCTGCTTGAAGATTCTCTCCCTCTGTCCCTCCCTCCACACTTATATTCACTCTCTCTTCCTCTCTCTCAAATAAATAAATTTTAAAAAATATATATAAGACATTGCAAAGGGAACCTATAGAACAGTTGTTGAGTCTCTTGGCACATACTTGGTATCCAACTCAGTACCAGATTTCTTCTCTGGTGTCCATGGGCCACAGCCACTGCTAGCAAAAAAGACTGAAACCTGTGGCCAACTTGTTGCTCCAAGAGTCTGAGGTCCCTAAAGCAGACGCTTCTGTGACTTCGTGGGGAGCTGGGAAAACTGCTTGTTTGGGCTATACCTTTGAATGATTTCCCCCGAAAAATTGAGGAGGTTGAAGGAATTACTGTCTTTTATTGGTCTAGGCAACGTTTAAATCTTTATTTACATGCTAATGCACATTCTATTTCGTTAACATCCATCTTGCATCTTTATTTGTGCCTTGAAAGTCACAGAGCATACTGAGAAAATAGGAAGTAATTATGCAAATAAATGAATACAGTTACTCAGTATTAAGCACACAACGAGTTCAGCAACTTATGATTGGAATGTTTTTAAAAGAGCATTCTTGGGGTGCCTTGGTGGCTCAGTCAGGTAAGCGACTGCCTTCACCTCAGGTCATGATCCCAGGGTTGGGATCAAGCCCCACATGGGGTTCCCCGCTCAGCGGGGAGTATGCCTCTCTTTCTCCATCTGCCTCTCCCCCAGCTCATATTCTCTCTCTCTCAAATAAATAAATAAAAATCTTTTTTTTTTTTTTTTAAAGAGCATTCTTAAAGATGGCCTCCTTATTTGGCTACTGCCAACCTGAGGCTCTAGAACATTCCCCGGGGAAGACTGTTGGCAAATTGGGAGTGCAGGCTAGTATTGCCTTCCCATCCCTCCTACTTCCTCTGCCATTGAGAAAGAGTAGATTCATAATAACGACTGAAAAGCCAGTCACATCACTTCTGAAAGTTGCTGACTCCTTACCAATAAGAAGATGCCATGTGATATTGTTTCTGATGCTTCTAGATTATTTAAAATAAATTGATAGACCTTATGTATAGGTGGTGATTAATAAGAAGATACTTTATGAAAATTCAGCAAAGAAACCAGAATAAGTTCAAAAATAATACAGATTAATATCAAGGATACATGTTTTCCAAGTTCTATTAACTACAAATAAAGCATTGTCATGTAAAGCCCTTTCATGAGTTTTTCATAATTTCGGTCTGGAAAGCATAAGTTTTGAAGGTTATATATAGAGAAGCATCCTTTTGGTATTTCCTTATAGACATAAAACATTTAACTTTCTACAAGAAACTGAGAAATTGATTATTATAACGTTGTGTCATTATATTTATGCTTGATGCCAAATTCATTATTTAGGAATTTGGCTCCCCTGTACATAAATTACACGGTGCTGTCAGAGTACAAATAACTCAGTGCTACATTTATTTCTCCCTAGTTTTGTTCTGACATCATGGAAAAACTTGACACAATGCTTCCACTGGCTCTGGCATGCAGAGATGATTCTTTCCAGGAAATTAGAGCAAACTTTGTGGAGGCCTGTTGTAAAGTGGCAACAGCTGTCCTGGCGAGACTGCAAGAGAGAGGCAAGGAGTTCCCTGCCAAAGCACCCCTGACAAACTTACACACGCTGCTCTCCACAGCAGTCTGTGTCTTCCAGCATTTTACGCAGTATGATGATTTGATGAAAGAAAATACTAAGAAGTGAGTGTCATTTACATTAAGTTGATGGCCATGCTTAAAGGAATGTGTAATCTTTGGATATCACTGGAGTGAAATTTTGATGATAATATTTGAGAAGGAGAAAATTACAATGAACATGGTGAATTATGTTCATTTGTTTTAACTTGAACATGTCAAAAAGGTGGAGCATGGGATCGATTAGACCAGATACATAGATTAGGAAGAAAGACAGCTATTCTTTCTAAGGCCTATTCCAGAGAGAAACCCATACATTTTCCATATTCCGATCGGGAGCAACGATTTTCTGCATGCTATTGATGACCTGACCAAACAGAACCTCCCATTTTGTAAGGCACACCACACTGACTACCCTGGAAAGGAAAACTAAGCTTGTTTTTGTCCCTTGTATACAAGTAGTGACATAGGCACTTCTCTCTTTTGTTTCTAAGCAAACAGGATGTTAGGACTTATATAGAGAATAAATGCATTTTCCTTCTATTCTATTGACCAATGTAAACATATTTCAAAGCATCTGTATAGTAATAAGCTGTCCTTAATATTTGAGCAGAAAGCATCTGGCAGTCTTGCTTCTCATGTATTTGTAGTCTAAAAAGACTGTGTATTTTCTGGAAATAGGATAAAGATGACCACATGGTCTTTCCAGTGACCCTTGTACCCTCTAGGAGACAGCACAGCCTCTTGCAAAGGACCACATGGACCTGGCTTTCCAGCCCGAGTCCGACAATCTCTGCGGTATTCCTGACGCAGCATTTGTAGTCCCTTGGTTAGGAGAGAAAGCATAAGAAGGTGTGATATAAATAACTAAAGATAAAAGTAAAATAAATTTGGCTTGATGCAGAATATAGCTCTGATATTTCTTTAATTCCCGTAAGTAGTCAGATACGGTGAATCACACTTGAATTAATAAACAAAATGTGCCAGAAATCACAGTATTTCTGCAGAATATTTTAAAACAGTTTATGAGATAATTGACATCTACAAAATTACAATTTTTAAAACAAAAAGAGTATGTTTTTGGGACATGTGATAGCTTCATAAAAGTTAGTTCTGACAAATGCATGTTGTTCTCTATAATAACGATACCCTAATGCCTAAATAATGCACTGATCTCTAATAATAGGCTTACAAAGAATACTTTTATTTTTGAATGATGTATTGACAATGCAGTTTGTCTCAAGTTGAAGTGCATATTTGTGGAACAGCAGATGTACGTTTTCAAAGGACTTGCAAAACAAAGACCGGCTTTTTTTTTTTTTCCTTTTTGGAAAGTGAATGTGGATGCAGACTTCAGCATTAGGAGGAAATGAATGATTGATATCTAATAATCAAAACCATTTGTAGTACTGGGGATTGTTACCGTCTACTGCACAGGCCTTAAATCTCTGTCTCTTTGATCATTCCCTCTGAACAGACCCGTATTCCTGGTGCCTGTCCAAAGATATCAGGAATTCATCAACACTCTCCAGTTTCAGGTTACGGACTACTGCGTCAGAGTTTGTGCTACAAGCATTTTACAGGATTCTGAGAGCCACCACTGGGATGACTACAAAGCTTTTTATGAGGTGTGAAGTTAAGTTTACTATCCCTCCTTTTTACACAAATATGTTTTACTGCCTACCTGCTTTCTGGCTAATTAGAAACATGAGTTTGGCATTACTAACACACGAAGGCTGTTAGGATAATATTTTTTAAATATTGAATTTGTACTTAGGAGAAACATTTTTTAAAAACCTGAAAGAGCTAGACATCAGAGCTCTCCTTCTGCTTAAAAGTAAAAATAACTTAATTTGAGCTGCAGCATGTGCTATCTAAGTTGGAATATAACGGGATATAATGAAAAGTCAAAGAGATTATGCCAAAATGCTGCAACTTTATATTTTTCTCCAAAGGGACCGGTTGTGGGTATTCCTGCACTTTTTTTTTCTTACTGTATTTCTGTTTTTGCTAAATGTCTTTTTTTAAGCCACTTTGTTCTTTGTACATATTTTTTTGCCCTCTCGTTGTATGTTCTTATGAAGGTGCTTTAAGACCCATCTGATCATTTATAGCTTCCCTATTTTCATTTAGCCCATGTTTTGAAATCCCAAATTTCTACTAAATTAAAGCCTAATGATTCCCAGTATAACCAAACCCAGGACCAATTAAAATTATTCATCATCAGGCTTCATCAGTTTCCCTTCCCCTCAAGCCCATCGATTATCTGTAAGCGCCAATATTTAAAATTCCTTGAAGTTGATTTCAGGGCAGGGTGAAACATTTATAATATCTTAATAAAACATAATCAGGGTTTTTAAAGGAAATTCATCAGTCAAGCCCGATTTCATTAGCTTTCCCAATTTGCCCTTTCCTCCGGATCGAAGCTTATGATTCTTGTTTTTCCCGACTGTCCTGATCGCCATGGAGTACTGGGAAAAACAGAGTGGAGTATTATTCTGTGGAGTCACTCTTGTCTACTCCCTGACGCCCAAGGTTCCTGTGGCTCTGTATATGCCGGAGTTATTATCATAATAAATGTTGCCATAACAGAGAAAGTTAGCTCAGAAGCTCTCTTAAAGGACTTTCCACTTTTTCTGAGGCCATTTCATCCCTCCTTTAGAGGCCCTTCCCAGAAAGCTTTTCTCTTTGCAAGAGCATTCGTGTAGGGTTTTCCAAACCGGACGTACTTCAAACAGCAGTGAGCAGAACAAGCGCGAGAAGGTGGTGGTGCCAGGGTGCCTGGGTGGCTCTGGTGGTGCCGCGGGCAGCCTGACATGAGAGCAAAAGTATTGATCTTCCCCTCTTTCGGCAGCAGCCCACTCTCCTTATTTGCCTTGAGGTAAACAGAGAGATTGAAAATGAGTCCACCTCCGGTTTCAAACTATTTCAATATGTCAGTGCACTAATGAGCAATTTTATACAATGTTTTCATTGAGGCACAGGTATCATTTCACTCTGTGTCCAACATCAGGGTATTATGTCTTCTCTCATGCAAATCGGGAGCTGGAAGAGTTGTACGGTATAAATAATAAGTGGATGCACTGAGAACCTGTTATTGAAGTTACCAAGTATTAAAAAAAAAAAAAACAAATTACCATGTAACATACAGCCCTTAGAACTTATGACGAGGGTTTAGTTTCAAAGACAGAAATAACGAGATAGTTACCCTGTGATTACATGGTACTGTAGCTTCCTTATACTTAAATGGTCAGTGGTTACGATTTAATTGCAGAGTTAGTGGTTGTTATTTATTGCTCAGGAAAATAAAGTGATACTGCTTTCCTATTTACCAAAAAAAAAGAAACTTCTAAAAATAGCACAAATTTTAAACTGTTTTGACAACCAGAGTACTTTACAATGGTTTTATCCCGTTTACTGCACCCTTTTCTTCTCCTCTACCCATCATTCCAACTGATCTGTGAAACAGGACTAGTATGTTTTTAGCAGGGCCGTTTTGAGAGGAAAGGAGATGAAATCTGCCTGACTGGAGGCGAAGGGTGGGATAGAGATCTCAGGGGAGCCTGTCGCCATGTGCAGAGCATAGTAAGGAAATAGTGAAAGAACTTACAAGATATGAAGGAATATTTGCTCGTGTTTTGTGATATCAACAGAGCCCTAGATACATAATTTCCCTTTTCTAAACTGTCAGGTTGAGAGAGTCAGAGAGTACCGTATCTCTCTGATGAGGTGCTGGTCAGATGGCACGTGGGTGTTCAGCTTACATGTTTAAAATTAAGCTTTTAGTATAGTTGACATCTGCTCAATTTTAGCAACTTGTGTTTTCCAATAGTCAAAGAATAAAGAATTGTCTGTTCAAAGATAATATTGAATGGCTTCTATAATAAAGCCCAGCTGCTTGTTTCCTGATATATAATCTAAATAAAAGCTCACATCTGTTTACATTATAGTGGGTCTATAAAAATAACAGATGTTTACTAGCAGAATAGTTTTGAAATGACAACAAATAGAGAAAGCAGGTCAGACAAATAAATGAATCACATTTAGTTTAATGAAAACCCTTGCATACATTACAGTTACACACACTTCGAAGAGAATTGTGAAGAACGATGACCAATTCGGAATATTTTTAAGTAAACATGAAGTTTATATTTTAAAAAGTCTCTAAGTATTTTTCACGTTCAGGGAAAGAAATCTGCATGCCTCGTTACTTTTGTTTTCTCGCTTATTGATATCTATTAAGGAAATTGATTTCTATTTTGAAAAGTATGAGAAATCATGTTGGCCACATTATTAAAAGCACCCGTCCATTGCCATGGAGAGAGTTAGTGTAAATCATTCGTATTTGTCATTACATCAGCTGGGTCAATCTTGCTTTAGTTAACATACAACACAAAAAGTATGACAAAATCAAGCTTTAAAGCTCCTTTCTTACTTCAGGAAATTTTAAAAAGTGTTCCTTATCACAGAACACACAGCAAAGAAAGTATAAGAAACTCTAATTTTGCTACTTCCACATGAATTTTGTAATTTTTTTTCTTAAACAATTTTGATATATGTCTAGTCCAGAAGTCAGAAGTGGTCAAAACCCCCCTCCTTTGAACCTGACTCTTGGACAAAATGATGCTCTAGTTTCCCACCCAAGTATACCAGTTCTACTCGTTTATAAACTCCATTTGAAAGTCAATAGAAATTGACCATAAGTTATTCTTACAGTGACTACCAAAGATTTTAGCAATCAGAGAAATTATCAGAAGAATAGTATGTAAGGAAAATACTGATAGGCATATCCGCGTGAGAAACTATCAACTTTTGCTATAAAAAAACAGATTTTTTTTTTTAATGATGTTTGAGAGCTATCAGTAGTGGGCAAAGCAGGAATTTTAAGCCAAAGAGGATTGCTTAGAGATAAAATGCGAAGTTTTGCTCATTTAATTTTTAATATGGTAACAATCAGGGTTAATACTTGAAAAACATTCTACTCTTCCTATTTCAAGTAGTTTTTTTAATCTGCTTTGAGGAAAATGAGGTCAAACGACTAGCATACCTCCCTGAGAGCCTGTTAACTCATTAATGCTTGTAAATCACTTGAGGCCACATTCTCATTTCTGCCTGTTCCCACTGGTCTTAGCTGCTCTTGGGTCTTCCTCTGTGGTCAGGGAGAATTTGGTACCCACAGAAGAGGTCTGTAGGGGATGGAAAGGAAGGAGAATCTGGCCCCTTGGGTCTGTAGGGGGTGGAAAGGAAGGAGAATCTGGCCCCTTGGAAGTATAAAGTGCTGTTAAAATGCTAAGAAATGATAACATCTGCCTAAGCTTTACAAACTCTTATAAAATCAGACCATTATGGTATCTGTTTCTAGCATGGTTATTAAAACCCCATGAATGAAGTAGCCTAATGTAATAATCTTTAATAGTTACCCATCCCCCCTTGGTTTCATGCATGTTGATAAGTATGTGGTATGTAAGTTTATCTTTATTCCTGTCATTTCATTATAATGTGAAATCTCAAACATTTATAAGAGTGACCTCCATGATGGTAATAGTCTTGGAAAAATATACATACTTAATTTAAATTATTAAAATTTAATTTTAGAAGAACCAGACCACTATCTTAAATGAGCATGACTTGTTTGGCAACTGTAGAGTTGATTGCTTAAAGTAAATTTTAAACTCCAGGCTAGGAGTAGGTAAATCAAGGTATGCTGGGTTAAAAGCCTGTGGCCTGGATTTGCACTAGAATATCTGGTCTCGTAATTGAAATAAAACATATGTTCCTTTGTCAATAAGGATGTTTTACATCTTGTCAAAAATCTTTCTTGGTCATTGAGTGTGTCTGACTCTCCAGCTATTTCCTTTCAGCCTGAACTAATTATGTTCATAGGAAGCAAAATGACATTTTGGAAGATGTGAGTCTATTGTTTAATGTGTGGTGGTTTTGCCAGGGGGAAAGATGCTCCTTCTCACTCCAGATGTGGCATTATTTCTTCTGTGCTCTTCATCACGATCTCTGGACCATTCTGCCCCCTAAGTTAGCCCAGGTGATCCTAACAGAAGTGCTGGAGAAATCTTTGGGTCTACTGGCCTCCAGATATGCTCGGGCCCATCCCAGTTACAAGCGAACGCCACAGATCAGGTAATTGAAGTTGTGAAAACCATTGCTTTTCAAGAAAACTTTTTCATCGACTGGTATAAAGCAGAATGTAATTCTGAATCTCATGACATAACTCCTTGTATATTTAACATGTTTCTAACATCTGAAAGGAAATCATATTCAACTCTCCTGAGATAACTTAAGTGGAAATGTGGAACTTCAATCAAAATAACTTTGCTCTTTTTTTTTCTTAAAACTGTATGTAGAACCCACTTGTTTCTAAAAAAAAAATGATTCAAGATGTATTACAGTCTAAGACATTTATATACAAAGGTTATTAAATAAGATAAAGAGGGAAAATTGAGGCCTGAAATGGAGAAGGAAGCAGCAGTGCTGTGATGGAGCAGTTAATTTGATTTTGAAATTCTAGACAACCAGGGGATTTTAGTTTTTCTTTTTGTTTTTAAGCTTTTAAATCGTGTAGCTTAGGGGCACCTGGGTGGCTCAGTCGTTAAGCATCTGCCTTCGTCTCAGGTCATGGTCCCAGGGTCCTGGGATCGAGCCCCACATCGGGCTCCCTGCTCCGCGAGACGCCTGCTTCTCCCTCTCCCACTCCCCCTGCTCGTGTTTCCTCTCTCGCTGTGTCTCTCTCTCTGTCTTCAAAATCTTTAAAAAAATCAAAATCAAAATAAGTAAATAAATAGTGTAGTTTATCTTCATCAGGAAACTCCTTTGTCTAATAATTTTTCTTCTTGATATATTCTAATCACTTCTTTCTTTTTCTCCTTTATTGTTTTCCTTTCTTTCCATCATGTATTGCTAAAAACCAGTGCAGTAAAATGGGGACCCACAGACAAAGAGGTGCAGCAGTCACTGGGTGGTAATGACTAAACTATAGTCCAGGTCTACGAGGCATCTAGGCAATGGCTACAACAATGTGCGTAAAAGACTACAACAGTCCAGGCAAAGAAGAGGCTTTTGTTTTATAAATATTCTCACTAATGTGATTAAGATCTGTCTTTTCTTCGGATATATATTAGGAAGAACCTAAAGACACCAGAGGCTTTTTTTTGGCAGCAGGAATCATTTCCTGATCATGTTCTTGTAAAGCATGCTGCATTTGAAGGGTATTTAGGTCCTGCTACGGTGTTTCATAAATATGGTATTTTGCAAAGGCTGTTTTGAATTACTGACCAAGCATTTTTTTTTTAAAGCATTGAACTGAGAAGAATAGATGGAAAGTCTTTTCTGAGAGCAAAGAGTACCTTCATTCTTTTTTGTGTAGCTTAAATCCCTTTTGACTAGGAGGTGGCAAGACATTATGAGATGTTTGTGAAATCAGATTTACTGGGTAGTATGTTTAATTGACTGTACTATAGAGACTTTTGGCTTATGTTTTCTGGGTGGTTACATAAAAATGCCATGAAAAGCTAGAGTTATTTCTTACAGTTTTTTAAAGAAAAATAAAGAAATAATTTTATTTGATTAATACTAAACCATTGTTACTGTGGCAATCAGAGTGTGTGTGTGTGTGTGTGTGTGTGTGTGTGTGTGTGTGTACATATATCTTGGATTTGTAATTGTTTAATTAACTATTAGAGCAAATGGATGCAAATTGCAGTTAAACCTTCCTAACGGCAGTTATTGATGTTTTCGTATTCTAGTGGCCTCCAACCATCATATGACCAAAACCATATATGTCGTATGTAATATGTGTTATATGTTAGTAATATATATATAAACTTATTTTATATATATGTATGTAATAAATACATAAATAAATTTGAGGCCAAAGTCTCATTTTAAGAGATCTTCATACTTATTTGTTTTCTTATCACTTCATGATTTCCATCATCTATTTCTTGAACACTGAATTTAAAAGAAAAAATTAACTGAGGTTTGTGCAATTCAGTCATATACCAAAATAATCTCTAAACAGATCTTTGGGTCTCTGTTAAAACACAGGAAAGATAGAAATGAAGAAATGAGTTTATGAATAAGATTATAAAATACAACAAAGTTTCCACAAATTTCTTCAATATTGAAAATTTTGGAAACTGTAGTCTTCTCCATTTGTGCTTCTGGTCTCATTTTTTTCTTCCTCTCCCATTTGCTGGGGAAACATGTTACCCAAACTTGTAACTTTCTTTTGGCGGCCTGTGCTTGGATAAGGAGAATTGTTCTCCTATCAAAATTTTACCTATCATATACATGTGGATAATAGCAAATTTTCTTTTAATCTGGCTCCTCTTTTGCTGGACATAATTTCAAGGAAAATCTCTTGAGCTTCTTGAACAGTATCCTAATAATGCAAAATAAACCTTAAAAAAAAAAACAAAAAAGAAAGAAAAGCACTCCTAAAACACTTCGGTATTATAGATAGACCTCACCATTCCTAAAGATAATGGTATATGAGTCATCTAACACCTGGAAACTCAAATGCTAAGCTTTGATTCTTTCTGTCTTTGATCTCTGAAGCTCTGGTATCTAACCAAATATTTCTATTCTTATATATGTTTAATATAAAAGATATGAAGGATAGTGTATATACCAAGCAGAAAAACAGTTTAACATGATTTTCTTTTTCTTTCCAATAGACTTGATGTCACGACAATTTTAATATGCACTGAGAACATGTTATGGTCAGTTTGTCCATCTGTACAGAAGCTTTTGAATCCTCATGAGTATATAGATGATAAAATTTTTAAAATTCATACCCATTGTAATAATCTGTTCACAACATTAGTCATTTTGACGTCACCCTTAACTGAATTGTATCAGTAAGTATCAAACATATTTTCTTTTTAGCTATTGTGATATGTAAATAACGGGACTTAAAGTTATTTTCGTACTACTTATTGAATTGTGTGAAGTAGCAAGTAGAAATATTTTGAAGTGCGTTTTTGATATTGTGATTTGGGCCATTTTACAAAACGAACTAATACTGTTATATCTCTATCGGTCAATCTTAATCAGATGCTAAGGCGCCAGTAGGATCGGGATTACCTTGAGCTTCACTATTTGAGTTGTTTAAATGATTTTATTAATGGGTTGGTTATTTTCAATCATAGCTTGATACTTAATGAAGAAGAAAATCATATCTAATGGCTTTTTACTCTCTTGAAAATATTTTTTAGTTTTAATTTGATATAAAGTGCTTTGCTCTAATAGAAAAATTTTAAAAGTTGATGCCATAATATTCCCAAATCTGGAAGAAACCTAATGTTTCCACATTGTCAGTTAATCTGCCATCCATTTGCATTTTGAGTATTGGGCTGTAGTGTCTGAGCTAGTAATGGTAGGTGGCAATAGGAATAAGTAATTGCATTTTTATTTTCTGTCTATCCGTCTATTTACTTATTTAAAGTAAACTCTCTGCCCAACATGGGGCTTGAACTCACGACCCCAAGATCAAGAATCACGTGCTCTACTGACTAAATCAGCCCTGTGCCCCAGCAATTGCATTTTTTTTTTGGAAAATGAGATGGAAGTGTATTGAATACAGTGTGAGGGAGAAGCAGGCATAAGAGGAAAGGAGAGACTGTCTGCCAGGAAGCAGTGGGGGGGGGGGGCGGCTATAGTTAGGAGGAAGAGTGAGGAGGTACAGGAATGTATGCAATTTTCCTTCTTTAGTACCCGTGCCAGGTTTCAAGTAGCCCATTGGTCAGCTAGGGCCTATGGATATTTTGAGCTGGGTCATTAGAGAGCCTGTTTGCATTCAGCCCGGTGCTCACTATGGGCCCTTTTCCCTTACTCAGGTTTTCATTGCTCACGCCTGTTGCCTAACAGTGTCCTCCGCATTCCCCCATGACAGATCAACAGTGATGGATCTTTGGCATTTGGGTGGAAGTCTCATCTTCAGTAGCTGCTTCATGCTGGACAGGCGGCACACTGTTCCTACCTAAATTTGTTGGTCTGTCAGGGGTTCTGTGCAGGTATAGACCAGAGCATGGTATTATATTAACACGCAGACAGGCGATTTGAGTGAAAATCCCTGGTGGGCAGGTCCACGGGATTTAGGGGGAGGGGATCCTTCGATGGTATGGGCTGGGATCCTTGTTGAACCATCATTCGTACAGAATTGTTGGATTCACTCAGACTCGTGGGAACGTTTTTTGCCCATAGATCAAGATGGCAGCTGGATCCAAGGGAACAAAGGAAAAAAGGGGAGCCCAAAAGAAGCAAGGTGGCTGAGAGTCAGCCAGTGTCAGGAAAGGGTCCCAACCAAGGTGGTAATGTGTGTGGTTTCACCCTGGATGAGCTGCCCCTACCAGCTGCACCACATGTCAGGAATGGAGGCCTCAGGAGGGTGGAATGGGAGAGGAGAGGAAAGGGATCCTTCACCCTCACAGGCACCAGAGTCCAACCTGTTCACCCTCAGACCTTCAGACCACACCGAGGAGCCGCCCTGGCCAGAAATCTGTTGTGTGAGGCGTACTAGGGATAGACAGCAGAAGAGCCAAAAACAGAAAGGAGAGGGAGGGCAGGTTCCCTCCAAAGGCAAGAGGGGAACTGGCTCCCTCTGGAGCTTCAGATATCCTCACAGAGGAGTAACCTCTGCTGGTTACTCAGTTCCCCAAGGTCGTCAGTTCCCCAAGGAGTACTAGAGCGATCCACTGAGGGAAAAGTCCTGAGAAAGTCCCGGAGAATCCAGGGAAAGTGCCAGGCCATCAGAGGTTCCGGGTGAGGGGTACCAAATGTGGGGTGACCCCATCGGGTGAAAGAACTCACCCAAGGCAGAACAAAGGAGACAGAAGTTTATTAATACACTGGAAGGGAGTAGCGGGCAGGACAGCAAAGGAGAGACTCATCAATTGCATTTTTAAAATGTGGAAAAATTTTATGTAGTAAATAAGACTTAGGGAAATTAAAAATTTTGAACTACTTTTCTGATTTATTTCCTTCGAATTGGTAATATTGGAGAAGATGCTGAAGTAGATCTTATCATAAAACAATAATACAATTTTGTTTAAACTCTCCCTCAAAATAGTCACTTTATCTTGAAAGACTAGATAATTGCATATTCTTAGTTTCTTGGATAGGAAAAAGTACGCATATTTCTACTTCTTAGGATAAATTCAGTAAAGTATTCCTTTCTGGAAGATTCTGGTAAGAGAAATATATAAATCTTGATTTTCAGTAAATTTTGAGACTTTTGTGTTAGGAATTCTATGGGTAATTAACAAGTTTGATTTCAATTTCCCTATAATTTTCACCCACTCTGACTTTCAACAAACCCATTGTTTATAGATTGTTTCTTCTGGCAACCCTACCCTTGAGAACTAATTTTAGAAATGGAGAATTCTTTCACAAAGGGAAGAAATAGTGAGATAAATTGCCATAAGTTTGGGATTATATGCATAATAGTTCATAATCATAAAAAGCTCAAGGTCTGAAGCACATAATAAATCCTAGGAAACTCAACTGATTTACCATAGATGAAAAAATCGCTATGCTCTTAGTTCAACGGGTCATTTCATCTGAGAGGAAGGCCCTGTGAAAATCAGGAACAAAGTTGACAAATTTCATGGATTGGTCATGGTGAGCGATATTGAATTTCATGGTTTGTCACAGATGAATAGAAAAATTTTAACCCCCCAATGCATTTGTAAAACAAATAAATTATTATCAAAGATTGCATATTTTAATAATAATAATGTAACATACATTCATTATTGTTAACCCATGGCCTTTTGATACATTTTTTAACAACTATGCAAGTACTCAAATCTCTGTGATTTGTGCATTAGATACTGCACTGTAACCTCATTCAACAAATTTAAATTGCTAATTTCAACCAGGATTACAGAACATTTTACACCAAGCACTGCCTCTGGTTTTTCTTAATATAAAACATACATGGCTACATTGCTTTGAAGCATGAACAAAAGTCTAGATACTTTCCTTTTTAATATTTCTCAGTTCATATAAATTTTCACAAATTGTATCCATTCATGTTGATTTAAATTTTATGATTGTTTTTCTAGAATATCAATGCAGTCTTTGAAATGTATTTTGCTTTATATTGACAAAGGAAATCTATAGGACAGCATGTTCTTCACCAAGTAGGAAAAAGTTGTACGTGTGTTACAAGGACCCTATTGATTTATTTAGCTTCCTGTTACAGCCAGGGTATGAGATTGTTATATTATTAGTATTTAGGGAAAAAATGTATCTCTATTTCACATTTAAGAATTAATAAAGAGGGCACATACTGAATGGAGCACTGGGTGTTATACACAAACAATGAACCTTGGAACACTACATCAAAAACTAATGATGTAATGTATGGTGATTAACATAACATAATAAAAAAAGAAAAAAATTAAACTGTATGCTTTGCGGAATTGGTGAAAAGTAACAATCAGATGTTGATAGTATTGAATTTTTTATAAACTGTACCTGACATTTGTCACTACATGCGATATTCCTTTTTTGAAGGTGACTGCCTTTCTTCCAAGTAGTTCTGACAGATGAACTGAATGTATTTTCCTTTCTGAGTTTAGTGTAGGATCACTAAATCCCAGGGCAGGCATACATGATTTTAAAATCTTTTCAGGAAGAATGAAACCTGTTTGCAAAAATGTGTGTTCTCTTTTAACTCTCCTTTGTAGATTTCTGTTAGAATTTTATAAAAGGAGTACATTAAGTTTGTCCTCAAGGGAATGAGACCTGCTGAAACATAAAATATTCACCATGTATTTTCCAAAATGCCTATTGCTTGTAGATCTTCCATCAAGGCAGTTAAAGTGCACATTCAGAAGCATCCTCGGTGCACATTCACCCACATACTCAAACATGGTTTCAGATGGTGCGTTTTGCTTGCGTAGAACATTAATTTTCGTTTCTATATGCAAAGAATTAAAATTTAATTTCTTAGAATTTTAGGTAAATGCAGTTTAGTTTCAATTCAATCAATGTTGTTGCCTCTCCAGCCTCTCTGATTAAGTACAGGGATTAAGCACAAGGGTTACAGCAGTGAGCAAGATAAATACCTGCCATCAAGTAAAGTCTAATAAAATTTCTAATGTTAAGATTAAATTTATTTACACACACATGCCCACTCTCCCCAGTGTCACAACATTTAATAACATGGAAGAATGAATTTCAGTACAAGTGCCAACCCACCAGGCAAGGGCCGGAGTCGATATGGGCCCGAATACTGACCAGCAGACCTATCTTGAGGTTCACTTGGTATCACTAATATGGCTTTGAATAACTAGATTCCAAGGTATTTCAAAATATGCTGTGTTTATAGTTTGGTTTCAAACCAACGCTAGGTATTTTGAGGTTATGGTCTTAGCCTGTTTATTTACTTATTTATTTTAAAATATTTCACTGTCCCTCACAAAGCAGAGCATGGACTGAAATTTCACTTTTCATACTTCAAGAACGTCTGGCATGCTTTGAAAATAGGCATTTCCTCAAAACATTAAGCATAGAGTATGCTTATGTAAAATATTGAGCATATGGTCCTATGACCCAGCAGTTTTACTCTTAGGTATAGACCTAAAAGAAGTAAAAATGTATGTCAGTACAAAGATTTGTATACAAGTGTTCATAGCAGCATTTTAATAGTAGCAAAGAGTAAAAAAAAAACCCAAATGCCCATCAACTGGTGAATGGATAAACAAAATGTAGCGTATCCATGTAGTGGAATATTATTCAGCCATAAAAAAAATTTGGAGTGCTGACAGTTGCTACCTACCTCACCTCAGGACTGAACGTCAAAAGCATCATGTTAAGTTTAAAAAGCCAGACAAAAGAGAGTATATATTGT